TTAGGGTTCCTAGTTACCAGAATACTAGGTGGCGACTCCCATTCAAATTTTCCACTGATAAGGGACAATAATTCCTTGTCTCTTCATATCTTGCTAGAAATACACCACATCCCAATCTTTTCATGGATGGTGGATGATCGCCACGATGTCGCACACGTGTGACCGCTTTGATTACTAGGGACTAGTAATAAGCTGGTTGGGGGGTGTGATTAGTACTTAAAAGTGCATTTTTATCATGGTTTTATATCATCATTTTGCACTTGAAGTATCAATAACTCCTTAACTAAAATATGTTTTATAATAATGTATCTAATAATATAAGATACCTTTAATTTGTGGTAAATGTCTATTTTTAATGCAGGTCTATCACATAAATGAAAGGATTGATTGATGACTTGAAGAACTTAAATTGCATGGATAAAGAGATGGTCAAACTTAGAGAAGAGATGTCGGTGCAATCCAAACCGGAACACTGTTCGGTAATTGGGTCATATCTAGAGCTATATATCTCAGATTTAGGTCCAATTTATATGGATGGAAAGGTAAGACATAGGCCTACAACTTTCATATGGAGCCCAAGATCTAAAAAGGCCATTATCAAGTCCAAATTGTAGAAACAACAAAGAAGCCCGAATCTGTCTTCCAGCCCGAGCACTGTTCGGTATTTTGGCCATATCTGGAGTTCTAGAAGTCCAAATGAGCTGAATTTTTTACACAAGAAAGCTGAGACAATTGCCTACAACTTTCATGTTTGCACCTGGCTCCAGTTTTGACGTTATCAATGACGTTTTGGGCAGACAAGAGAAGATAAGGATTGTCACCAAGTCAAAAGTTGGCCACCCACTTATCAATTAGTCATCAAATCAATAGTTTCCAATTTTGGCCTATAAAAGGAGGCATTTGCCATGCATTTAGGCATCTTGGTTTTTAGATTAAGATCATGCTCTTCCTTTCTCTCTTTGTATTTTTTATGCTTTGTTTTCATTAATATTAAGTTTATGCCTTTCATTTCCTTTCCTTTACTTAGTTAACTTTTATGTTCTTATTTTGTTTATCTATTTTGCTTTCTTTCATTATGTCTAGCTAAGTTAATTATGTCAAGGTGAAAAGGTTACACTAATGGTGTGAGAATAAGTATAATGTAAACTTAATATGGACTTTAATGTTTGATACTAACATGTTTTGTATTTGTTATCTTGTTCACTCTTTAATACTTTGCTTGTTAAATGATTAATCTTGATTTATGTTGTATAACATTTGGTACAACAAATGCTTGGCACTTTCATAGCCCATAATGTATGGTATAACCGACACCTGAGCTATGAAAGGAACTTGATTTGTTGTTAACATAAGTTATAATCATGAATGCTTGACGAGATTTACAAGTATTAGCATTAATTGAATAAGATGACTAATGTAATCATGTTAACAATCTATAATTCGATTGGAACCTCCTTTGTGTGTGGTTTCCATTTGAGTAATAAGAGTTTACACTATACTTGTTTGAAATACTATTAGTGGAACCTCTAACCTTGACATTTGTTATTATCATTGTTTAATCCTTACATTAATATTCCATCTCAAAGTTCTCATCATCTTCTTCTTTTTCTCCTTCTTTTTCTTTATTATTATTACTACTACTACTACTACTACTACTACTACTTTATAATTTATATAATTAACCTCCCTATGGTTCGATCCCGGTCTTGCCGGGTTATTTATTACTTCGACACTCCTGTATTTGGGAGAAGACATCAATCTTTTCATCATATCAATCCTAATTTGTCTCTAATAATTCTGACTATCCTTTCTCTTTCTTTTGAATTCTACTTGTGAATGTATCTATTACGAGCTCTAATCTTTTGCTGGTTTATGTATGCTTTTCTAGTCCTTTACTATCATTTATCTTTTTTTAAAATGTTTTTCTTATAGGTTTGGTTTTTCCTCTTTGTTCTGCCTTGCTTCTTTTAAGATTTGGGACACTCTTGCAACTCCTCATTAGATTTTGAAGAGAGGAGTGCATGTTGTTGATTGCCCTTGTTTCTTTGCAATTCTATGAAACTGTCCAATTTTCATTCGCTGTGTGCTTGTGTGCTTGCGTTGTTGCATTGCTTATTACTATTTATTTTTTCTATTGTTTTTCTTTTTTAAAAAAAAATCTGTTTTGTTGAGATGTTAGGATCCATAGATGCCCAAGCTTTCTTTGTTAGAACTATAACACTCAGGAAAGGAGACCTCTTTTTTTGTCTTTTTTTCCCAAACTGAAATTATGTGTCTGAGTTTTCTACGTTCTTTTTTTTTTTTTGTTTCCTTGTGATTCTGGTGATCAGCTTGCTTCTTGCTAACTATTCTTTGTTATCTTGCTAATTATTCTTTAATATGTTAATTTCTATTATGGTAAACTAAACATCTTTACTCAATAGTCTAATATTCTAAATTATGTTAACGAACTTTGATACTGCAGAGGAGGCTACTCTTACAAGTGCAAGGAAAAACAAAACAGTATTCCCAAGGGTTTTAAGAACCAAGAGTTGCTGAGGTTCTAGTATTGAAACACGTAACTTCTATGTACCCTGTTTAATTATATCACCGCAAAATCCAACATCTACACTTGCACGATGTCTGCTGCTAGTCACTCAACCTGAGGTAGATCACAAGGAAGCAAAGGAACCTAAAATCTACACTTGCATGATATCAGGATTACGCTTTCTTGTTTGTGTTGCATTATCCCTTTTCTCCTATCCTTTTTTTTTTCTTTTTTAACTGAAAAACATGAAAAGAAAAAAAAAAAAAAAGCATAGGAATCTCACAGCTATACCAGAACCAACTATACCAGACTAGTCTGGGTAAACTGCACGCCTTGCCTTGTAGGCTACAAACTGGAAAAGCAAATATCAAAGGTAGAATACTCAGAACTATAAAAAAATATCTAGCAAATTGAATCAGAATACCAATATTGAGCTAGGCTACTATCAAGACTGGTTAGTGCAACCTAAGTCCAGCACTTACGTGAACATTTGAGGGCGGCTACGAGAAAGCTGAGGGCGCTTTATCGGGGATAGAATCAAGTTCCTTAACGTCATTGTGGGGTTGCCAGACCCAGCTCCAAAGGCATGGACAGCACCAGGTCTTCTATTTCCAAAATCAACTGGCATGGCTGCTTGTTTTGCTGGTGAGCCATCAGAGATGTCAAAAGGACCAGAATTAGGGCTGTTCTGTCTTGCAGGCCATATATCCTCCCGAGGCCCTGGAGTTGGAGGAGTGGAAACCGTCCAATCTGCAGGAATTAGGTCAACTGCATTTGGAGCTATTTAAGCAAAAAGCATTATAAAACCATAGTGTGACAATATCATTGCAAAGCACACATTTTCCGCTGCTGTAAGCTTAACAAGGACCCTAATGCTGAAGAAACAATAACTTTCTATTGCACCAACCAAAGCCTATGCTGTCCCATTGTCATTTTAAAATGGAAATCTTTACCTTTCCAGACAGGGTTTCTGTTATCCATCAAGCTAGCAGCATGATTTGAGAACAAATCAGGCTCATTTCTTGAAAAGAAATTGTTTGCTGGTTGGATGGCTGATCTTTTCGTTGAATCATACTCATTTCTCAACTGATCGTACATTTCATCAAGTTTCCTCTTCTGCCTGGGAAAGCACTGGTGTTTATTAGAGGATCCAGACTCACAATATAAGCTCGTAAAGTGAATGAAGGCTTTGAACAATATATTCACTGACCTGGATTTCTCTGAGAATTTTTCCTCGAGCTCTTGTTTATCCTTTGACAAACTATCAATCTCTTGTTCCATCATCTGACACCTTTTGGCTACTTTCTGATATGCAGTATGCAGCTGCTCCAGTTTTTCTGTGAACTTTTCTTGCATAGATTCACATTTCTGCCGGCACTGAGCTACAACTCTATTCATCTTGTATTGCATCTCAATTTCCCTTTGCCCAATATAAAACATCACGCTTCTGTATGAACTTTTCATCACTGAATTGATTTGAGGAAGATGCATGGATTAAAATACTGTTTTGCATGTTTCCCAAGGAATGCTAAGAACCATTCTGTTTATTCAGTTTGGTGTCTCTCTCAAATGAACTAGAAGAAGTATTGAGTACCACCAAATTATCTTATCGTTTCAAATTTTCTAGTTCTATTCAAACTAGTGGATGGATTTAAGGAAAAAAATGGTATTAACTTATAGAGGATACATATTTGTGGAGATATTCCAGCCATTGCCATCTGCAAAAAAAAATGCATTGCAAATAAAAGGAAAAAAACAACCAGAAAAATAAGAAATTATCAATGTTTGACCAAATAATGAAAGCATTGTCGGATTTAACCATGATAAGGTGTAAAAGAAGAAGCAAACTATTCATAATATTCCAAGCTAAGTCCCTACTTACGTTTATCCATTCGTCATTTGGATTGATCTCCACAGGTTTCATAAGGCTGTCAAGCGGAAACCAAAGTTAAAACTGAAATCAGAATTCCATGAGCAAGAAACATTAGTAAGGATTACCCTAATCATTGGTTCGTATTAAAGGAGTTCAATAAAATAGGCTGATATATTCACACAGCTGCATGATCTTGAGGGCATTCAACAAAATATACAATCAAGGATGAAATCAAAGATCAGTCAATAATTTCAAATAAATTCTTTTTGTCAAGAAACAATTCCTTACTATGCAAAATTAGAATACATTATCTTTATTCACTAATCATGATTCCTAGAACTTCCATTTCTTTTTGTCAAGAAACAATTCCTTACTACAGTGATTTAGCAACCATTTTTTACAGAACACAGCCACAAGCATTTCAAAGACTGAGCATTCTCATAAAGTACTGACCTCTCAGAAAGCACTTGATCACAGATTGGACATGCTGCATCACTATTAAGGATCTTGCTTGCATCTTCAGTACCTGTTTACTCCGTTAAGGTACTCTATGCTAATGCAATAATAATCCAGAAAACATAGAACTAAAAAGGCATAATTATAATCTGCACTAGGATACATAAGAGGTGTCCACAAGTAGTAGAAACAGCTCGCCCTTCCAATTCTCGCCAGCACGCATTGCATCTCATTTTGACCTTCAATATAAGACTTCTATCCAAATATAATATGCATAATCTGAACCTATTAAAAGGAGGTTCATAGCGTTAGCATCAACTGCAATAACACATGCAGACACATAGATTCAGACCGATCTGCATCACTGTAGCAAGCAGCCACATGTGTCTGAAAGACAATATTGGCAGAAAATCATCAGCTGTAAATATATAGAATTTCCGATATCCAGTAAATTCTTCAAATTGATTGAGATGCATAATTTGTGAAATAAAGAAGCATCTTATGAACCACATAACACTTTTCCATCACATCATTAAAAGATACAAAGTTGTCAAATTCCCACAGTTACTTATCAGATTTTCAAGTGTAAAAATATTGATTAAGGTAGTGGTTAGCCAATACTCAAGAAAAAATCAGTCAACATTTCCAAAATGTCCAAAAACACCCTCAGTATGGTACTGAGCAAAAGAGTCCGCACAGCCCTCAAATGTCCATCAAAATCACCAATTTTTCTGGCGTTCCAAACAGCGAAGCCTTACTATTCAAATTTATGAAACTCCTTTCCATTTCTCAATTTTTTCTCATCAACAGAACAGAAAACGCATAAACAAAATCTCGTAAAATTAGGTTTATCTGCGAATCGAATTGATAAAAATCCGCGCAAGAAGCTTAGAAGTACTCGCCTTCGCGTTCTCCTTAATCAGAATCACAAATCAATCCCTAAAATCGTAACATGCTCAATCTTCGCTCACTTGGACGAATAAAGTGACTATCAAAAAAAGAGAAGCAAATTCTATTGTGAAATCAAATTTATATATTACTTTGGAAAGAAAATCCGTAACAGTGAAACTTGAATTGAAAGAGAGAAATGTGAATCCATAACCTGAAAGAGTTGTGGCTTCAAATGTTTTTATTCTCTTCTTGGCTGTGTGTGAAAGATTTGAAGGAGAGAAATGGCGGCAAGAGGCAACTTGATTTTTTTCCAAGTAATATAATTTTAGAAGACGGATATAGCATGGTCGGTTCTGGTTCTAATTATAACCAAACTGATTTTTGATATTTTACCGATTATAAAGTTAAAATTTTTAATTTGTTTTCAGAATATATATATATATATATAATGTTTTTTAATTGTAATAGTGGTAATAATAATTAAAAAAAACCAATAATAAAGTGATTTTCATGATTGTAATAACAATGATATTAAAATAAAATAAAATAAAAGTGGTAATAACATTACAATGATTAATGTTAAAATAATATTTTTTATTAAAGAGTGTGAAATACCTGGTTGTCTTCCAAGCTTGTGAGGTAAAAAAATACAACTACTAAATTTTAAAAGCTTTATATAAATGCTTATATTAATAAAAATAAAAAATTTTAAGCCTCCTTGTTTGGGAGTGCAATATAAACAAAAGTAAACTAAAATTCCAGTTTTTTAAAAAATTTAATTTTTATATTTTTAAATTGTTTTGATGTGTTAATATTAAAAATAAAATTTAAAAAATAAAAAAAATATGTTATTTTAATATGTTTACGAGTACAAAAATATTATAAAAAACAATTACTATTACATTTTTAAATACCCTCAAATCCCTCTATTATTTTTCTGAGATAACTTCATGTATATAAAACTAAAAATATAATTTAAATATTCTCAGCTTCAATAACCTTTCATCTAACCAATCTATTTTACATTTTTTCCATGGAATTAATTTTAAATTTTAAAATAAAATTTAAATATCATAATATTAATTTTTTATGTAGAAAGTTTGGTTTTAAATAAAAAATAAGAAATATACTTTAAGGTTACTGGTGTCTTTTTGAGACAAAAAAGAAAGGGTATTTAGATAACTATTTCTAAGAAAGAAAAAAAAAAAGGACGCTTGGGGAGTTTGGCTTGGGACATCTACTCTAGGATCTGCCATGTGGAATTTAAAAGTATATTAGAAAATTTAGATTTATATTTAGAAGAATTGCTATTATTATAAAAAATAAACTAAAATATTTGGGGTAGGGTTACTGCTTATACGAATTTTAACTAAAGTTTTTTTTTCATTTTAGTCCTCTAACTTTTTAATTATAATTTTATACTTCCAAGTTACATTGATATAGTTTTATACGCTAAGATGTCTTTTAATTTGTATTTTTCATAGATATAAAGTGTTGATAGGTATTTTGGTGATGTGCTGAAGAGCAAACTTAACAAGGATTTATTTGTTGCTACAGATAAAAATTAATAGAAAGACCAAACTAAACAAAAAAAAATAAAAAAATCAAACAAACCACATTTTGAATTTGGCATTAAAAACTTTAATTTACTCCCTATAATTCTTAATTTATATGTTGTGTAGTCCCTGTTATTTTAGAATTTCACATTTCGGTCCAAAATATCATTCGTTTTCCATCTCAATTTGTAGAAATTGAGGGAGGAGAATGAAAGTTATTGGAAAATATTGAAAAGAGAAAAACAATCAGATGTTGACATTCAAGCCACTAAGATTGTGATATTAGTTCGAATAAAATAAAAGTGGATTTTCCATCTAAAAATACTAGAAAAAATAGTCATTAAAGCTTTTTTTTTAATTTTGATTATTTTTTAAATAATTCTCTCTTTTTATGTATTTTTCACATTGAGTTATTTTTTTATATATTTATATCTTAGTTAATACACTTTATTTTATTTTTTAAATTGTTTAGTTTATTTTTTAAAATATTATTTATTTTTTAATAATTTTATAACATTTCAAAGAGATTACTGTGATTTACGTTTAATTTTTTTTCTTTTATATTTTATATAGATACACTATATTTCCATGATGTGTTTTTAAAATTAAAATAATTTGCTGTCGGCAAGAAAGAAGACCCTTTGAGATAAAAATAAAAATAAAATTAAATTAAAAAGAAAAATCAGCATTAAATATTTGGATACTCATCAATCACTTTCAAGAGGGATTACCTTTCTATTTTAGTATTTAATTAGCAATAACAAATCTTTATTAGTTTATAAGTTTACATATTTTTTAATTTATTTTATTAAGTTCAAACGACTTTGTATTTTTCAATTAAAAAAATCATTATACTTGAAAATAAATTTATAACGCTGACATATATATTTTTTATCATTTTAAAAATTAACTTGGAACACTAATTGTGGTGATGTGCGGCTTATAAAGCTAGTAAAAACTATAATAGATTTATCGACAGACTTTTCTCATTTTATAAAATCCAGTGGTTTCTCTTTATTATAATACAGCCCCAAACAAAATAATTTTCATGATATTAAAAATATAACCTATAGTATCTTATTAATCCTATTAAGCAAGACATGATGTCATCATCCAGCAAACAAGAGAGAGAATTGGAAAGTCCGAGGGAAGAAAACAGAAATTTGTCTTTGGAAACAAGGACATGGATGATGACATGGCATTCTAGTTCCATCTTATATTTAAAAATTCTCCACGAAGCAAGGTCTCCTTAAATCAAGACATAATGGAAGCCTGCCACGTGCACTACAAAAAAACAAAAACGACGGGCGCCGCTAAAAAATATCGCCCAACACGAAGAAAGATTCAAACTTCGGAAAGGAATGAATGAATGAATGGATCGCTTTTTTTTTTTTTCTTTTCTAGAAGTCCAAACTCCAAACTGTTACTATAAATCAAATCAGCTCCTGTGGCTCCATTTCATCCTCTTCTTTTTTCCCATCAAAAGATCTCTGCCCTTCTTCCTTTATTGCACTCTCTCCCAACACTAAGAAACTATTCTTTCTTCTTCTTCTTCTTCTTCTTTTTTCGGGATTTTTTTTTTTATCCTTGTAGGAAGAGTGATTAGGGAACACGAACTGGGTTTTCGTTATAAGGGAGGAGAAAGCCAGATTCAAGGAGTGGAAGGAAAAAAAAGAAAGAGGTAGAGGAGTTTAAGGTTGTAGAACAATAGAAACTACTGTGTTTTCTTTTTATGTGGAGATAGTGAAACAGAGGATTTGAGGGAGAACCAAAAAAGAAGACTGAGAGTCCTTAGAGAGAAAGAGAGGGGAGATGAAGATACAGTGCAACGTTTGTGAGGCGGCGGAGGCGAACGTGCTGTGTTGTGCGGACGAGGCGGCGTTGTGCCGGGCATGTGACGAGACGGTTCATGCAGCTAACAAGCTTGCTAGTAAACACCAGAGGGTTCCTCTTTCTACTTCTTCCCCTCAGATACCTAAATGTGATATTTGTCAGGTAATTATTTTTTATTTTTAAATTTGATGGTTTATTTAAGATTTTGGATTTGACGTCTCTGGTGTTGCTTGTGGTTATGGACTTCTGGGAGGTGTTTTAAGCGTACTTGGAGTGGAAGGGTTTAGAATTTTGATTTTGAGTTTGATAAAGTAATAGGAAGGGAAAAAAATTGTAAAGTGTGCTTACTTTATCGGAAATGTACGCCTAGATTTCACTTTTATATTTTTAATTAATTGCAAAACCAATATGATTCTGGGTTTAGGGTTTAGTGGAATGGTCTCTGACGACTTCTTAAGACCAAGTTCATAAGGTTATTGCCTAATATCCGACCTAAGAGTTGACGGTATTGGAGTTTTTGCTTGATACTCCAAAATAAGGGTAATTTTAGTTTCTTTTTCCTTCGAATTCTGCGAACACTCCCCTCCCAAACAAGTTAATAAATAAACAACTCCCTCTGCTAATATATTGACTAACTTGGTTTTTTGATTTCTTATACAAGTTTATGTCAAAACATTCTCAGTTTCTTTTGTGCACTGTGGAATTTAATAAAGTCTCAATCTCAAATAGGCAGACTAGGATAGTTAGATGTGAACAAGTGTAATAACTGCTGGCTTTTCAAGGCCACGTTCTGAAGTAAATTAATGTTATGGAAGACTAGATCAAACACATATTCTGAGGGAAAAGATGAAGCAAAACAATTGGAAAGAAAGGAGAAGAACAATCATTCTCTGGGTTTGGCAACAAGCTTTCACATATCAGCTAGTTATGCTTCATGCAGGCAGCTTGCTTAGCATTTTCCCACATGAAAGAGTCTATAAGGTTCAGAGCTAAGTAGCTTGCTACCAGTATGTTTCATTACGTAAGAGCCTGAAGACGACCCATTGATTTGCTTGTCTGGGTTACTTACCATCGAAGAGCAACTTTATTCTTTTTCATGGATTAGGTTGTTCTAAACATATCATTTCCTTTCAGAAAATCTAATTCTTTAGAACTTTCAAGTTCTGTTTTTGAAATCTAAATTTTGCTCTTTGGGGGCAGTTGTCCAGCTGTACTTTCATCTATTCTTGAACAGGAAAAGGGTTAGCAACTTGAAAAATTCCATATGCATAATTCTAAATTTCTGTCATTTTCATAACCAGTTTTTCTGATTCTCCATATTGACATATGCTCATTTTTGTCAGAATTCATGCTCTGTAGCTTCTAGCTTTTCAGTTTCCTATAGCAGGATGTTCTTTTCAATGGGTTTAAAAAAGTGAGGAGTTAGTGCTCAACTTGCGATAGGCTTGTCTCCTGCCCCCCCTTTTTAATCATACATTATATCTTTTCTTGTGCTTTGCATCTTGGTCGGAACCATATTGAGTTTATTGGTATATGAATTATGATTTTTTTTTTCTTGTTTATTAACTAGTTAACCTGTCGCTTATTACAGGAGGCTGCCGGTTTTTTCTTTTGTCTAGAAGATCGAGCATTACTCTGTGGGAAATGTGATGTTGCAATACACACAGCAAATACCCATGTGTCTGCTCATCAGAGGTTTCTGCTCACTGGAGTAAAGGTAGGTCTAGAATCAACTGATCCCAGTGCATCCTCTTCCCCAGGGAAGTCACCTTCAGGGGAAAAAACAACCTTGGAAATGAAATCATGTCCTGTTTCTAGAAGAGGCACATCAATGCCCTTGGCTAGTCCATCGAATCAAGTTTTTCCTGCAAATGTTTGTGGAGTTGGAGAATTTGGGCCTGCAAAACTGCCCTATT